TGTCGTTTCCGTCGGGCTCCGGCGCCGGTGAAGGGTACGGCGGCGGCGCCGGCCCGGGCCCCGGCGGACCGCCCTACGGTGGCGGGTAAGTACGCCACACGGAAGCCGCCAGACGGGAGCCGCCAGACCGGCACGTCTAACTGGCGGCAACTACCGCGAAGTGGCACATTACATTATCACGTGGTGCTACGTAAGTGTCATGCGAGCCAAACAACTAACCGTTCAACAAGCATGTGAATATCAAAGTTAAGCTTCAAAGATGCCGTCTAAAACCAATAAGTTGAAATCCGTTACGAGCAGTGATTTTGTTTTGCTGCTGTACGTAGTAAAAGCGGAAGGTGTTAAAATTATGAAAATTGTACGCGTTGCAATATGTTGAAATTTGGCATACGTTCACATAAAATTTCTCAGAAAACAGTGCTCTTTAGCTACGCCAGTCATTTTCTATTTTGGTGTATTTCCCACGTTACATAATGCTATATTTGTTATGCATCTATTTTTAGCTGCGAGAAAGAGCGCTCAAATATCTCGCAGTTTTCAAGTTCAATTTTGCGATGACCGTCGACGCCATGCGAGCCACACTAAATAATTCCTAGCACCATGTGGAAGGCGTTATTTTCGGGACCGGGCCGCAAACGGTGCTGCCTCGTACGTTATGCACGACGCAGGCGAACGTGGCCCCATGTGGGACGGAACTCAATCTCTTAACGTCACTTATTGGGTTAGAGGAATTTGCGTGCGCCTTGCTGGTTTCTGTTTCCAATAGCATAATTATTTTTCGATGACCTGGTAATGTGGTATGCAAAAGTAACCTGCATTCGCTGTATGGGTGGCATCGTTCGTTTTCCAACCCTTTTATGGCCTTAAACGTCCCCTCCAAGCACACAGCTGGCACCGAACGTGCCGACAAAATCACGGAGAGAGCAATTGTTTGGACCAGCATCACCCATCATCATCGTCTGGTGTGCTAGACTCGTCTGCCTGCACGTAACGTGTCGGCCAGTGAACTCTGGCAGTTGTCAGGTGTTACTGAGTCCTCGTTATCTGAGTTATTGAGCCCTAGTGACGCAATAACGCCTCACGGTGGCCGGAAAGTTAACTGGCTGCGGCGTTGTGTACATACTACTAACTCATCAGACGAGGTTTATAGTCCGATTATTTCATCTCCGATGTTAAGAGCGCAAAATGGTCCCAGCAGTCGCCGCGGGTGAAAACTACAGTAGTCAGTCATCATTGATATTAATGGATTCGTTCAACCCTTCCAACAAAATTAATGATGGACATCAAGCTAGAAAAAAAAAAGAAAACGTCAGGGGGATATGCGCTGAATGGTTATCTCTAGTGCTGCATCACCGTTCGTTCGTTCGTTGGTGGTTGGTTGGGTCGGGGTCGGTCGGGTCGGTCACCCTCCTGCCTGCCTTCTTGTAAGGAGTATTATGATTGCACTTGCTGCCATTTATCAAAAGCGCGCCTCGCAGCTGCAGTCAAAATGGTTTTGAACCACAAGACCCCCCGTTCCCCAGGCATGCCCCCTTCCTCGCGCCGCTCGTTGACGGTCTGGCCCGCCCCGGCTGCGCAGTTCATCAGCCGGCGGCGGCCGGCCGCTTGACCCGAGGCGTTGGCCCCGCTGCCTCCCGCGCGGGGCCCGCCTGCTCTGTGGCGGGCCGCCTGCTTACAGATGTTCGCTCGGTGCGGCGGGTATTTGCGATTCGATATGTTTGGGATAAACTTTTGATGGTGGCTAACAATAGGATGCCAGAAGAGTTGACCTCGTTTTCAGAGCTCCCAAACTTGCGGCCCTGAAAATTGAGAGTGGGCATTTTCGGCTCCCAGCAGTACTGTGCGTGAAAGTGAGATTAATGCGTTGAGTGTACCAACAAATAGTTATATCAGTTGAGCTTTCAAAATGTGTAGGATGCTCTGCAACATGGCCTGTAACGCAATATTTGCAGCGCTCGTCATTCATTTGCTGTCCTTTTCTGAGTTGTGCCTTGTTGCTTTGTTGCTGCTGAGGGCGAGACCGAATGCCAAGCGTTAGCGTGCCTTTATGGAAAGCGTCGGCGATTTGTTAGGGTCGGGAAATGCCTTTGGAATTACAGTTCCTGCTGCCCTCGGTGAAAAATGAAACAGGAATATTCGTAGCAGGCACGTTTTCTTAAAAGTCTAACAATTTTCGCGGCGTTGGCCTTATAACCAGTCACTGTTACCATGTTCACGAGATGCCTTCCTGGAAGCTTTGCCATACGCGAGAGCCGCGCCAGCGTCTCATCATTTATTCCGGTGCGCCGAGCAACTACACCCATGGGGCTAAGTGGACACGCAGCTGCGGCGTGTGATGGTCTAAATAACCGGTAAGTATTTTTGAGCCAAGTCAGGGAGTCAGTAGGGTCGCTGCAGGGAGTAGAGCCAATGGTTTTTCCTCAGGCAACCGGCCAACGGTACGAAGCCACTGACGTCCCCGTGGCCGATTGGATAGGTAGAGGATTGAGTACTGCTGGTTCGTAGCCCGCGGGCTCAAGTCACAAAGAACAGTCCGCTTGGTGAGACCACACCGGGTGCAAGCAGTTGCGCTAACATTACGCGGCCATATTTTTAGTGAACGGAAAATGACACAAGCGATGCACCACGTAATTACTGGTGTAACCAGTAATTCTTCAGAGCTATGCACTGGTGCATGCTTTGAGACATTCCTGTGACGGGGTTCTCCAGCACAGTCGACAGAAAAGTAGACGTCCGTCTGACGTGTCCTAGCAGGTGATCAGCACTGGGGACAGGTGTGAGGCTGATATTTCATGCAGGACAGCCCATGTATTTTCTGTCGTAGTTAGTCGAGGCTATTACCGGCTGAAGCTATCAATAGTAGCATTATCACATTGTCTGCGATCGACGCCTGACTTCTTGAGTCCCGCATCGGTCCAGCTTCAAAACAGTGGAAGATTGGAGCGGTGGCCAAGCACGGGTTTCGGAATGCCCGCAAGCCGGCGGCCGTGGGGGGATGGCTCATGAAGCGAAGACGCTGACACAGTTCTTGACTCGAGTCAACGTCCGGCGGGGTTCGCCGCCCAACAGCGCCAATATCTCGTTCCAGGAACCCCCCCAGGCAGTGGGAAGGGATCGAATAATTCACCAGTGCATCTCGGCGAGTCAGTGGGGCCTCAAATAGTAAACGATTCTGTGAAGTATGCAGTGGCATTGATCCAAGACTTCAGCGACCATTTGACCGGAGGCGAGGAGCCACTCGTGTAACTAATGCAAGGCGTAGAAAGCATTCACCAGCGCTGCTGGATGTAAGTCCACAACGGCCCGAACCCGATCGCAGTGCACGCGAGTAAGTCCAATTCAGAACTTCACGCTGCAGTACTAATCCGTTTAAAGGGAGTGTACCACATTTATATGGGGTTTTGAACTGAAATGCCGTTTTGAAGACATTTCCGTGCTGTTCACAATCCTGCCCTTAAGAGCTCAGTCCGTCTAGTTTCGTTTTGAAGACCTTTCCGTGCTGTTCACAGTCCTGCCCTTAAGAGCTCAGTCCGTCTAGTTTCAGAGCTACACGCCCGCGAAAATGGGCAAAGTTATATCGGGAGAGTATGCCAAAGCCACGTTGCAATTAATGACGTCATAAGGGCGTCACTCAAATGCTGCCGTTCCATAACCCATGCGGCGATCAAAGCTAAGAAAAACATAATTGTCGAGGCGTTCGTATCTGGTGTTCATGTGCACGATTTCCAACAGACAATTGTGCCGTCTAGAGCAGCCTTTTCCGCTTGAAAAGTGTACGAATACGTATAAGTGAGCCTGCTTCATCATACCTTCATCATATTGCTGCAATGTCATTTTGCCATGTCATATTGCCTCAAATATGAAACATTCTCTTCAGTACAAAGGCATCTAATAGGGCGGAACAACGTTTTTAAACTTCAAACAACTCCAGTAGGACCCTTGCCGTTCCACGGGCGTCGAACTCACGCTCCGGTCACTGAGAGAGTGCCGCGCGTGAAGGCTGGTGCGCAAACCTGTGACAAACGCTCGTTTCTGGCATTCATTAAACATGATAGTGGAATGCACATCAGGGCCGCCTAGCACGTGACGTAAGGAGGGTTGCTTATGTTTTCAAGGCTGATAAAGACGGTCAGGGCTGCAGCGTTTCTCGGGTATTTTACGACTGCTTGAGCGGAATGCAATCATCCCTCAAACTCTTTCCCTGCTACTTCCCTCTCCACACTCTGCTCTCGCTGCCCCGCACGCGGGTAACCGGCTTGTCAGGTGGCGTCCTCGCGCGGCACTGGCAAGGAACCAAGCGGCTCGGGCGACGGAGTGAGGGAAGCCGTCAGGTGCAGCATCCGCCTGGTGTTTCAGCGGAAGAGCCGTGCCCTGGCTCACGCCAGGGAGGTGCCTGGTCAGCCGTTCGTGGATCAGGGCACCGGCTCCCGCGAGCTCCTACTCGTCGGCTCTGCAGCGGCACGTCTGGCTCTGCGGCCCGCGTGTAGCGCGTCTGTAGGCCTGGCGGCACAGCAGGGCTGCAGACGCGCAGGGCTTCATGCCCGCTGTGCCGTCCCCTGGTTGGGGTCGGCTTTGCAGCGGAGCGGACGCACCGAAACCCTTGGCATGTGGAAATCTGTCCACCCAAAACCACAACTTGACCGCTGCCGGTCCTCCCAGTGAAGGCCTGGGGTTCCTCTCGTCGCTGCGATCTCCGGTCGGGAGATTGGCTCTCAAGATGTGTGGAGAGTAAAAGGCACCATTAGAGAGCCTGCGACATCGCAGCGGCTACCGCGGTACGTCGTCCCACGGTCAGCGAAGGATGGCAACGATGGGAACCCCGCTCCACTTCGTCTGAACACACACCAGCTCGAACAGACCACATCCAAGTTCGACAAACTGAGCAGCGAGTCTCGATATGCAGATGGCGGAATCGAAGTTAGGAATCGCGAAGGCAACGACATTAGGCAGGTGCTGAACGCCACGAACTGCCGCACATAGTTCGTGTTCAGGGGATGACTAGTGTACCAGTCGTCGCCGTACCTCGCCCACGCTTAAACCGTCCTGGGCGTCATCACTTAATAGGATCTGCGTGATGTGGGTGAG